TCTCCCACTCCCTTCTTCCCTCACTTGTGAACAAGACTCCGTGATACTTAAACTCCTCCACTTGAGGCAGCAACTCATCCCCCACCAGGAGAGGGCAATCCACCCTTTTCGGGTCGAGAACCATCCTGAGACTTGGAGGTGCTGATCCTCGTCCCTGCTGCTTCACACTTAGCTGCAAACTGCCCCAGTGCTGCAGGTCACAGCTCAATGACACCAACAGGAAAGATGTGATCCTGAGGTCACCAAACCAGACCCTCCACCCCTTGGCTACGCCTAGAATTTCTGTCCATATGAACAGAATTGGTGACAAAGGGCAGCCCTGGCAGAATCCAACGCACACCGGGAACGAGTCTGACTTACTATTGCAAACCAAACTCTTGCTCCTTTTGTACAGGGACCTGATGGCCTATAACAGCGGACCCCCCACTCCATATTCATGAGGCATCCCCAACAGGACCCCCCAAAGGACACAATTGTATGCCTTTTCCAAGTCCACAAAGCACATGTAGACTGGCTGGGAAAACTCCCATGTAGCCTCAAGTACCCTTGAGGGTGAAGAGCTGGTCCAGTGTTCCATTGCCAAGACAGAATCCGCATTGTTCTTTCTGGATCCGAGGTTCCACCAACGGGCAGACCTTCCTCTCAATTACCCCAGCATAGACCTTCCCAGGGAATGAGGAGTGCGATACCCCTGCAGGTGGAACAGATCCTCTGGTCCCATGGATCACCACCCTATTCTTCCAATCCAAAGGTCCCTAACCTGCATGCGATGTTGAAGAGGCGTGTCAGCCAAGACAGTCGAATAACATCAAGAACTTTCAAGAACTCAGGGTAAATCTCATCCACCCCCAGAGCCTTACCACCAAAGAATTTTCTGAGTACTTCAGCAACCTCAGCCCCTGTGATTATAATTCCTCCTCTGAGTCGTCCAGCTCTACTTCCTCAAAAGAAGGTGTATCAGTGCGATTCAGGAGCTCCTCAAAATACTCTTTTCTACATCCCCATTTGAGGTCAGCAGTTCTCATCCCTGCTGTATACAGCAAGGGCGCAGCCTTGCTTCCCCCTCCTGAGTCACCTGATGGTTTGCCAGAATCTTTTTGAGGCCGACCAGAAGTCCTTCTCCATGGCCTCATCAGACTCCTCCCACACCCAAATTTTTGCTTCAGATAATGGATGGAGATTTTAAAAATCAGTAAATTAAAGTTTACCGCCGCTGCTTTTGCATGAGCTCTGCACGTGCTCTCCAAGCCAATCATAAACACTTTCATCATTGATGTTTAAATCACTCATAGAAGGATTTGTGAGCAATTTATTTCAAACTCTTTTTGCTTCATGAATATCATGATATCTGAAATTCTCCAATATCATGCAGCTCTAGCGTGAACAACTGCAGCCATGTTTTTTTTTTATTCTGCAGAAGAATAAATCAGCTTTACCTCAAAAGCTCGTTTTGACTTATATGCCTGATGGGAGAATATATTCTTGAGTGTTTAAACTTTTGTTAAAGATCAAAACCACCTCATAAAGCTTTGTCCTTCATTAGATCTGAAACTTCAACATCCTATTTTCCTCCAGCAGAATTAATGAAGTGTTGCAGGCAACTAAAATCTCACCTAACTTGGCAACCTATGAGGTGCAACATGTCAGAAAAACAAAGAGGGAAGAATATCTCGTCCCATTATTTTATAGGTGATCCTAGTGCCCACAATTCATCATCCAGCTCCTGACACTCTAAGCAAGAGAAAGGGACCAAAACAATCAATGTCAGCCTCTGAGCAACTGGAGGAAAACTAAATAAATACACTAGGTGGAAAGAGGAGGGGCTGTGGATTGGAAGGGGAAGTGAAGCCATTTAATTGTAAACACTGATTTTTTATATCTTTTCAATATCTGTATTAGTAATAATAATGATACGCTATCAGAACAACAACAATGTATTCTCCGGACGGCCCTGACACCCCCTCCCCCCATCTAATCCTTACTCATTCCACATCCCCACCCTCTCAAAAAAGAAGATCTCTATAAAAAGCATAACTTTGTGCAACTCAATGTACTCATGTTCACCAGATCTACATCTGTAGCTGTCCTTTCATGTGCCACCACTAAGAGATACAGCTTCAATTCTGGTGCAATTTTTCTCAAAATGAAATAGATCTCATATCATTACCAACAGAAGTTTGAGAGTTAGCAAGTTTGAAAAAGACCCATTAAATACTTTTTGAGTTACTGGATTCACAAGAACAAGTGTCCTCTGCAGCTACCTTTTCTTTCCTTTGCTACCACTTACAGTAGCACTGCTGATATTATTTTGGTGGGCTTTGTCACAAAATTTCTGAATTTCAGTTCTGCACCTGTAGAATGTGCCTGCAAAGTTTGGAAAAAAATGCACAAAATATTTTTAGTGTAATGGGATGATGTGTCTGAGCTGCCCTTCTGTTTGCTCTCACTATGTGGCAATGCTTTATTTTTGGTGCAATCTTCCTCAAAACGTGATCAGGTCCAGATCTTACAATGATCAATTCCACACCTTACAATGTGCTTGCGACACCGGAGGACCGGTCGCAAAATCTCGTGTATTTTCAATCCAGGGAATATAACAGCAACCATACTGAATACAAAAAATTGCAGATTTTTTTTCTCAAAACCAATAGGCCTAAACTAATGTCTAAACAAGTCTGCATGCACATTTACTTAAGTTTTATTACTTTGTAAATAGTGTGTAGGGTTTACAAACTACCCCAACAGTTTTGATGTAGCTAATTTTAGGTTTGCAATGGAACAATATACATTTGCCGTACAAATTCTTGCGTGAGCGTCAGAGTCAGAAAGCCAGTGTCACTCCAGAGTCAGTGTCACTTCAGATGCGTGAGAGTTGAAAAACCTGCACATATTATTTTCTATAAGCATTCTTGGCCTTAGTGTTGACTAAATGAATAATGGCCTTTGTTACCTGGCAAGGCCCACAAAGACACAGATCTGGTTCACAAGAACAAGTGCTCTTCAATTCCCCTCCAGCCCCAGACAGGAACTGGATCTTTTAAAGCAGTTCTGCTTGATGGATACCTTTTGGGCTAATGCAGTTTTGCTCTTTTACTTCCCAGTTTGCCGCGCCCAATGAAAAAACATCTGTAAGGTTCACGGCCGGCGGCACACCCCCAGTCACAAGGCAGCGGCAGAGCTTCTGGAAAGACTGCAAGCCTCATGAATGCTGCTTCTGCAGCCTGAAGTTCCATATGGATAGATCTGTCAACTCCTGCAGAAAAATCTTCTGCAAAGACATGACCCAAGACAAGGTGATGCTTAAATGGCTGGAGTCTCCCCTAGCATAAGATTCAATCCACAGTCTACACAATGTGTAAAGACAGAAATGCAAGGCAATATGGAAAATCAGCTGAGTAAAGGTTTTTGTTTATCATTGTCTTTGCAGTGCATTTTTGCATAATGTAAGGTGATATCATATATAGTACAAAGTGTACCTGGAACATTGCTTTCAGATCTTTGGTCCGGAGGATCATAAATACATTGAGTCTTTATAAGCATTGATATGCATGAACTACCACTACTACTACTACAAAAAAAACTATTATGTCATATATCCTAACTAAGAAATGCTCACATTTTTATATACTGTAACTATCAATGAAACATGACAAAATAAACTACTAATTATACTAGTATTATTTCAATACAAATTTTTCAATTCGAACTTTAACTTGCCGTCCTAATTTTAAGATAATTAAGTGCAAATGAACGATACTGATTTAGAGTAAATCAGCAAGCTGCCCTTTTATCACTATCAGTTTAGTTTCTTCAGCAGTGCTGCAGTGACACACATGAATACTGATCCCTGTTTTCCAGGAGTCTACTGGACATCCGGAGCGTAGATATCAGGAAACTGGGAGCTTGAAAATAGACTGTGATGGTGGTATTACATGGAACAGAAATCACCCCACCCCCCCGCCACTACCAACAGACCCACTTTTTCCAGCTAAGAGCATTTTCCCCAAATATGGCATTTGGGGCAGGGCAAGTGAACCACAGCATGAGAAGGACTCTTGTGTTAGACAGAGCACACTGTGGTGAAGGGGATTGGCCCGTTTGCATGAGAGGGAGGGGCTCAGACCCTGACCACGGCCCGGGAAACCCGCAGAACACCAAGAACTATTTAACCCTTTAGGGAGTGCAATGCTTGTTGTGTAAGAAAAAAACGCTGCTTACAAAGAAAGAAGAGGGATTGCTGATGGTGATGTGTGTGTGTGTTTGGGGGGGGGGGGGTAGTTATTGCTAGCTGCCATATTGTTTTAATGTATTCCCATATTGGAATGTGGGGGGTGCAGTCCCTGAAGCAGGATTAAAGAAGAATGAATATAAGAATCACCATCCTCTTGGTATTCATTGTGGCAAAAGAAAGCAAAGGTAGGAGCTGATGTCTCAGGCAGAATGCTGAAATGCTGGAAGATGAGACAGAGTTTGGAAAATCTTAATCTAAAGGCTTATTTGAAGACGAATAGCTGGGAAACGCAAGGGGGAGATGAAAGGGATTGTTGGAGGGTATATTACTGGAAACACATTTTGAGGATGTATTTTAAAATCAATCACCTGAAAAAAGAGAATTTTCCATTTAACTTTAATGGGATAATAGAATTATGAAAAACCACAAATAATCACTAAGGCAGACGAAACTTTAAATCAATTACAGTATTTCCAAAAATCAAAGACCAAACAAACAAACAAATAAATCAGGTGTTAAAAATAACATATCGAACGAAGAAGAAAAAGGGCATTTCCAACCACGCCCATGATCTTGTGTGTGGTTTACACTATTCCTACAACCTGACAGACTGATATTTGTCCAAAGGCTTATGTGGCCATCTGTGGTATCTCAGAGGGCATTCAGGCACTACTCACATCTTGCCTGAAATCACTCAGATTCACACTCATAATGGCACTCAGATAGCCCTGAAAGTGTAATGGGCCAATGGTGAAGCAGGGTATCCTACCTTATTGTTCTGACAGAGATGCAATATTTCCACATTAGATTCCACATGGCATTTAAGTCCAGTTTTCAGACACATTCAGAAACGTGCAGTGAAGTGGGGGCCTGGAAGGGGGACGTGTTCCCAAGGTAATGTCCCACGCTGTCAACAGGCACTCCGAAGGGTCACACCTCACTTCTTCATTTGCGTGATGTTCCCAAAATATCCACCCAAAAGAGAGCAAGTTCCTGCAGTCCTACGTCCAGCTTCTGTTGGTGTGCAATTGATCAGCTCTCCAAGCAGTTCTGCTCGTTAGCCTACAAACATGCTGCTCAGCTGACTCGCGAACGGAGAGCCAGTCTGCCCAGATCGCCAAGTAAGGTAAAGCCACTACATACACTCACAAGGCTGCGGCTGACTGTTTACAGAGTCATTCATAGACTCAAGCGCAGGCAAATCTGGCCCCTTTCGTCTCAGCATACAGTCTCATTTACTGTACGTCCTAAATCATCCAGTTGTGACTGCCAGTCTCCACACAGTCCTTGAAACAGACTGGCCTTCTAGGAAGGAGGGTGTGGAGAGTTGGGGAGGTCGTGGGAAGGTACTGGCTGTTCCCTACTTGGGGACATCAGCGGATGTTATTTCTACAATCTCCACAGCAATGACAGGAAGAATGGACTCAACATTGGGGTGCCAGTTCATGTTTCACATGTGAATTACATGCCTGGCACTATGGGTGCGAGGTTGATGTGGCGGCCAGAACCTGACATGGAGATGGTGACATCATAATTACTGTGTAAGTTTACCCTTCCAGAGGAGACACACAGGGCCGGCCTGGGAATCATTTTCATGTCCACACAGCCCTACTTTTCAAAATACTAAACCACACCCAGGCTCCAGGCTGCCATTACTTTCCACACACTGCAGAAACAGACAAAATATCCAAGTCAGTGAAACTCAGTTTTATCTGCTTCAGTAGGTATGTCAAGGTTCAGAACTCAGTGAAGATAATTCTACAATGAATTTTGTACATACCTGACAGCTTCAATGGTGAACAAGTATTGAATATATTTACATAATCAGTAGGAGATTATGTACGTTGATGCTTTCAGGTTTGGTAAATCACCTGGGGTAAATCTCTTTTCTCTTGTTTGGAGCCAATTAACCTCAATTAGTTTTAACAACCCTTTTACCAGTGACTGGGGACTTCACAAAACCCCACAGTGAGTCCAAACTTGCTCATGCATAATGTTCACAATCCAGTTCTTCTAGCCAACAGGGAAAGAGGAGAGCTATGATTTATAAAAACCAACCACTTGTCCACTGGACCCAATCCCCACTTAACTTCTTAAAGAATCCATGGGAGTCCTGGCAAGATCTATAACTGGCAAAATGAAGGTGATGTGACTGTCCGATTCAAAGCAGCAGTCATCAGACCACGACTAAAGAAACCAAGTTTGGATCTACAAGAGCACAACAATTACAGATGTTCCTATTATGTACCATTTCTGTTCAAATTTCTGGAGAAGATAGTCACTGCTTAACTTCATACTTGGAGACACATGACATACTGGATAGACTCCAGTCAGACTTCCATCAGGGACACAGCACTGAAACTGGTTTAACTAAAGTCATAAATGACATATGAGTGGCAGCTGATGCTGGCAATGCGACTGTTCTTGTCCCTTTCCACAAAATGTGGAAAAAGCCGAGGTTATGTTGTTTAATTAAAGGCATGTCCATGGATAGGTCTCCTATAATCTCCACACTCCACCCTGAGGGGTTAAACTTTCCCCTCAGCAGCTTAGTGTCACCTTAGACACATGCCTCACTCAAATCACACGGAGACGCGGTTTCGAAGGTGTACTTCTTACAGCTTATTAACATTGCCAAACTACTGTTTCTTTACTATTCAAGACACTGAGAAACAAAAACATGGTTTTCTATACAGTAGGTTAGACTGAACTTGAGTTCTCCTACTGAATTCTCCTACTTAGATATACAGTTTGGATATGCCAGGCCTCCACAAAACACCCAAACACAGTAGAAATGGTTTTGGAGGAGTTTGACAAGAGAGTGAAGGAAAGGCGGCCAACGAGAGCTTAGCACATATGTGGGACTCCTTCAGGACAGCTGGAAAAACACCCCAAGAGTCCCCTTCATGGAGCTGGTGTAGAGGAAACGACAGGGTCAGCTAGTCCCTGGGACAAAAGGGCCCGATGGTGGGATCACTCTGCTAAACCAGGGATTTGAACTGGCAACCTTCTAATATTTTTTCATTTAATACTTTTTTGTCAATTCAATATGTGTTATATTATACTTTTTATGTCTTCATGAAGTATTCTAAAACATAGAGAATATTGCAAATAAACCTCTCTATGGGTAAGTGTGTCCAAACTTTGGACTGGTACTGTATTCTACTAGTTGTGGGTTCTTTACCCACTTCCATCTTACAGTGGTGAATGTTAAGTATTTCTGGCAACAATAAAGAAACAATATATAAACATTTGTTGATGAGTACTTCCAGGACCGATTCAGGAGTTTTGCTGTTAGTTGAAATCTTCCCTGCTGAATGGAAGTACAACGAGACTGAATAACTCTCAATTTATACATACCTGCAACCAGAAATGGATCAAAAACAAATAACAACTATAAGGAAGGTTCATTACATTCTCAAGTCTTGTCAGCTATAAAATAGCTCCAGCTAAGCAAACAAACAAACAAATAAAGTACCAGTTCATATCTATCAGTATCTACAAAATAACTGAGTCCCTTTTTGATATATTATGAGTAATAAGCCCTTAGTTTTGGGTATGTCTTTGAGGTAGGGATTCTCCAAAAACACACTTGGAGGTAACAGGGTTCTGAAGTCTGGGATCCCATCACTAACCCCATCCTACTCATCACAGACACTCGCCACTGTTAGCTTTAGTACGTAACAGTGGGGGAAAAAAATCTCAATCAACACAGACTATAAAGATGCAAAAATTATAGAATGGAGCGTTACGCATGATAGACGAAATCAAATCACATTCTTTTAGTCTGTAAGTGGAAAGAGTTGGATTTGCTACTTAGCATGCATGCTGAGTAACCAGATTGCAGTGCAGCTCAGGCTGAAGCAATGGGTGCTGACAAGTCGTGTCAAAAGGGAGAAACTGAGAAACTGCTTAATTTGATTCGAACAGAGCTGTCATCCAGCATTCGAGCTCACAATGCAAATTGATTCTATTGTTATCTTTACCACTAATTATACCAAACAATCAACCGATAAGGAAAGGATGAAAAATCCATTGACTCAGTGGCTCAAAGCAGAGTTAGACACGTTGCACACAATGCATGTTCATTTTGTAATACATTGTGGAGGTGTGCCACAAGAAAAGGAACAGGTCCACTTACCACAGATCTCAGAAAATGGCAGTGTAACTAATAAGAATTTTTCACACCTTAGCAAAGACGGCCTTTCAGCCTGGCAGCTTCCCATACTGAGGGGAAACGTACCACTGCTGTTTTGCTACAGTCTCTTTCAGGTACTACTGCTAATAGTCAAGCTGTCCCCCTCTACACCTTTGCAGTGGCCTGACAAAGGTCAACTAAATGTGAAGTGTTGGCTTTTAATAGAACAGACCCACGGGAGCAATAAGTAATTATATTCTTCTTAACTGTCATGCTTTGAGATGACCATTAATATGCTAATACTGTCATATTTTCTCGTAGTAAATGAGTAGAATTTAAAAATAGATGTCATAACTTCATGGGTGAGTAAACAATTTAAATCAGTGAGACTGAATTGGTGGTTTGTGCAATTTTATAACACATGATGAATGGGTAAATGGATGCAATCATTATAGTTACATGCTCTTGACATACAGTAGTCACAGCGTATGCAAAAAAGGGCTTGTTTATGTTATTCTTTTAGTATAGCAATATTGTGAGAAACAAAAAATATTTCTGTATATATTTTGCTTAATATACACAAAATCAATTATAAAAAGACATATAGCTTAACATTTACTTTATATTCAACCTACTACATTACAGACTACCACCAAAAGGTCAGCTTGATCAAAGCCAAGGAGAGCATATGAACTGAGGAGATTTAATGAAGTAATAAACACCTTCACCATCAACAAGGGCAGGAAAACGCGGAGATGTAGGGATAGAGGGTGGGGGAGGGGCCTGCAGACTAATTATTGTGCCAGAGGGTGCCAAACTGGTACAGGACTCTTACTGAGAAACTGCTGCACCATGGTTTTTAATTAGATAAACAGAAAACACGTTCTTTCATCATCTGAAATATGCTAATATGAAAAGATTAAATCCAATTGCTGTAGATGGGGAAAATGGAAAATCTCAGGGCTTCTCCAAATAAGAACACAGAGAAAACTTTTCAGTCTCTTTGACATTTTAAATAATTACTGGACATGCTATTCATCTTGGCATCCTACATATTTAATGTAGACCAGCAATAAAAATGGAATTATTTATTAATAGAGAAGAGAAATATAAGAAGAATGCCTCAGCGAATTGATGAGAATGAAATACCGTCCTACTGCAGGAAGAGAAGTGATAGGAGACCCCCAATGTCCCCCAGCACAACACATGGGCCAATGCTCAAAAACAGTGCAGACAAATGCCCTGTCTACCACTCTACCCTCATAGTCCTCACAACAGTAACTGCCATTTGTGGCCATTTGGCCTGCATGGCCCTCCCTGGGGGGGATTATGCCAGTTGGTCTTGGTCCCGTTCTCATAGCCAGAAGCACGTACCACACAAGTCACACAAGAAAGCATTAGGGACACGATCATAAGCTACACAAGGAACGCGGGCAGCTAGACCCAGTTACAGCAGCCGTCACAATAAGCAAGTGCAGCCTTCAAAAATCAAGAAATCACCGCTTAAATAAATCTGATTTATTTAGCACTTTACCTGTTATGCAATCCACCAAGAGGCTGCAGACACAAAACCTGCCAGTAATCCGAACAGACCGCTTTCATCTTCAGCATTTTCCCAAGATTCAGGTCAAGGATCCTTCCCCTGGTGGACGGCTTTGTTCAGAGAAAGGATCCAAATCAGTCCAGCGCTCAGCAAGCATTGGGGTCAAGTGCAGAGGCAAAGTACGACAGGGCATGTGGTTCCCCCTCAGGTCCGGTCCACACACCAAGGGACCCCCACAGCCCTGGCATGCTTTTCCTCAGCAGCTGGGGCTCAGAGGAGGTGACCTCATCTAAAAGACTGCCGATCCTCCGTCTTTGATCTATTGGAAGCGTGTGTTTAAAAAGCCCTGAACGCCAGTGGTCTGTGGACGCACGACGCCGAGCCCGTGCCCTTCTGCCAGCAGATGGTGCATGAAAGTGGGGGGTAGGATCTCACTTTTGTTCACCCCCACTAGAGGGCCTCCTCTCTGTCATAGCAGTTCTACTTCCCATTGATGATCACTGTGGTGGATTTCCCCCTCCCTGCTCTATCACTGGATTTCAGCTACTCCATTGTCTGGAGGACGGGGCTACCCAAGCTTCACGAAGGCGACAGTGCAGTCAACGGTGTCCCCCACAGG